CGCTTCGAGGGCTGCGGCGCCCCCCAGCCTGGGAAGAGCGGACGTGTGCCCTTGTAAAAGAGGGAGCCGGTCCCAGCCAGGGCGGATCGGGAGCACCTGGGGAGATGCTCATGTTCTGGATTGTAAACCACAGACGCTGCCAGGGTGGTGTGACAGCCCCAAGATGAGACTGAGAAACGCCAAGCCGGAGCTTGCGCCTCATTAAACCTTAGGCGGGGCCAGCTGGCCTTCCGTGATACACCTCGGTCCTGAGTGGTGGCAGGAAAATAAGCTCTTTTGCATCCGGCTGCCTTGAATAGTACAAGACACGTAAATTTAGTCTCTGAAATGAGCACCTCAATTGTCATCCACACAGTGGAGGGGAAGTGATTACGTGCAGGAGTTCTTAACTGTAAAGGTGAAATTCATCAATAGTGTGTACATTTGACAACGTCTCTAGTACTCGTAGTCGTTGACCATGGATACTTGCTAGCCCTTTTTAGAAGAGTTGGAAAACAGAATATTTACTTGTTAACTAGGTTGTAGTTTATAAGTAAAATATATTTTCACATAAACAGTCTAGTTGCTCTTTTTTTTAAAAGGTCATCAGTGGGTCACATGGATGTAATTTTTTAATGAAACTTCAAAAGATTATAAAATTTCATGCTACACGTGTTACATATTTATTATAAAATGAGTATTGTAGATAACTCTGTTAACAGTTGGGTTTATACATTTTTTCATACAGTTTTAAGTCTGAATGCTCGTATTTATTTACAAAAATGGATCCCCACTGTCAAATTGTTCAGTTACCTTTTGGAGAATTAGTATAGTATAGTTTTAAGAGTTCAGATTCCGAGTATGTGTATTTTGCACTTAATAGCCTTATTTCCTCGGAAGTAATAGGGGGATACTAATACTTGCCTTATAGGGCTTGAGAAGTATTAGAATGCATACAATGCACAGTGCCTGGTGTGGAAGCACTCACTGAATATTATGTCGCCTTGACGAATTGGCTTCCCTTATCTTTACAAAATGTAAAGATATTTACATCCCTAGTAATATAATCACTACCACTTTCTTTTGATAAATGTTTAAATGGTGTATCATTTTCCATTCTTTCCCTTTTCATCTGTCTTTAAAATAGGTATCTTGTAGACAGCATTTAGTTGAATCTTATTAAAAACCCAGTAGTATAATCTCTGCCTTTTAATTGGTATTTAGACCACTTATATTTAATGTCGTTATATAAATATATATGTCAGTGTCCATTTGAAAGAGAGAAATCATACAGTAATTTGATAGGGAAAACTATAAAGATATAATCGTATTAACAAGTAACCAGTGGTTGTTAAAGGTAAGTTACTAAGGTAAAGAGATCTCTGAAATATACAGGAATAGAGGACATAAGGGCAGTCACTACTTCTAGGGCTGAAACAGAACACCCAAGAAAGGAACAAATGTGCAATAGGGCCGCCTTTCCCAAGCTGAGACTCAAATGCTGGAGGCATTGTGGCTGTAGCCCACTAGGTGGTAGAGAAGTTTGCTGAGATGCGGTAGGCTGAGTCTGGCAAGCAAAAAACTGCCTCTGTCATGCCAATAGAACTTGCTTAGAGGCTGTCTGGCCCATGAAGCTGAAAATACTTACTGTCTAGACCTTTGCAGAAAAAAATTTGCTAACTTCTGAACTATATGAGTGGAGTGGAATGGAAAGTCTTTAAAGCAGATCTTTATTCGAAAATGCATCAGAATCTAGTATATGTTGTATCAATGGAAGGTGCCTAGTTCATTCACCTCAGCATGGATGAAAGTTATAAGAAAAAGGTATAAGACCAAGAATTTTGTGTGTTGGCACTAATGTGCTTCCTGAGGTTGTCTGGTGTGCGTTTCCAGCTACTCCTTGAAAAACTTTGGCTTCCAAGCCCTCTTTCCACCTAATACCGTTTTTCCAGTGCATGTTTTACTTTTACATTAGTAACACTTAAAACTCAGTTGTTCAGCAACCAGAACTTGCATGTTTTGTCCAGAGATTGACTCTAAAAATTGAAATCCAGTAAACAGTTATTTGTTGTTAGAGCTTTGTAAATACTGTTCACTGCCGAGTCAAGCGGTACTCTAGGATTATAAATCATACTTCGTGGGTCCAGTGTCACAACCCCTTGTTTTCCTCTTGAGAGAAGTTTTCTAACCTCATAATTAAATGGAATCTTTTTCTTACATTCCATCAAGTAATATATAAGTCTGGCCTTGTTTTTGTTTGAACAATGCCTTTCTTTGTTTTGCTTTTTTATTTTCCTGGATTTTCTGACTGCCTTCCCTCATAACCCCGCCATTGACAAAAAAATAATATTCCTTCATATCTTCAGATTTTCCTATCTTTCCAAACACACTTGCGTGGAGTCCTCCTTCTCTAGACCCAAGACATCCCTCCTGGGCCCCTCCATCTTCCTGGGTCCCTCCATCCTCCTGTTCCAATCTGGACCCATTGCTCTCTAGGTCTACCCTTATCCTGGGGCTTACTTTAACCCCATCTCTAGGAATGAATCCACTGTTTTCGGTAGCCTGTGACTTTTCCTTTCAGAACTCATTTAAGGGGATTACATGCTCAAATATTTTCCCAAGAAAGGTGCAAAAGAAGGTAATTCATGTTTATCTACATGTAAATTTAGTCTCTCACTTTAGTCATCTTTTGATTAGGTATAGAAATCTAATCTAAAATAACTTCTGATGTCTTTGATGGTATTACCTCATTGTCTCCTGGCTACCACGTTGATGATGCTGGTCTAATTCTCGTCTCTTTTTAGGTGACCTTTTTTCCTCTCTGAAGCTTTCGGAATTTTTTCTTTGGTATTTTGGAATTTAACGTGAATGTGCTTAATGTAGGTCTTTTAATGGCCATGATATTTGGTGTTATCTCTGTTTTCTCTTTCTTAGACCCCTCTTAACTGGATTTTGGATTTCTTAGTTTGTACCTCTTTCTCTTTTTTTCCTTTCTAGGTCTTTATGTTCTGTGAAATTTCTTTCTAGTTCTTTTTTTCCTTTTTTTTTTTTTTTGGCTTTTTAATTTCAGCAACCGTGTTTTTGGTTCCTGAGAGCTTTTTTCCCCCCCGTGTTCTGAGTAATCCTTTATCATAGCATCCTATCTTATAAATGTAATAATCTCAACTCTCTGGATGTACTAATTAGAGTGTTTGGGGTTTTTTAGGTTCTTTTCCCTGAATTATGTTTTTTCTGTTGCCAATTTCTCTCTCTTTAAAAATAGTCTTTAATGCCTCTAATTTTCCTCATGTCAGGAGAGCCTTGGTTGTCTGCTTTAGAATGAGTAACTGGGTGTGTGTGTGTGTGTGTGTGTGTATGTGTTGAGTAAAGAGATCTATTTCTACTAGGCCTCCCCTTTAAGAAGGAAGACTGACTACTAAGCTGGATGTGGATGTGATATGCTGTGTTTTAGAGCAGGGATTCCCAAGCTTTCACAATGTCTTAGTAATCAGTGCCTTAGTGTCTTGGTAATTTTTTTCACGGGACCTCTGGTCCTAGAGAAATCTCATAGTTAGATCCAAACATCTCAATGGTATAGATTGCATGGTATCTGGAAAATGTTGCTGTTTCCTTGAAATTTAGAATATTCCACATCTCCCCCTGAGTTCACTGTGATGCTCCAGGTGCTGTGGCACACAGTTTGGGAACCATGATTTAGGGTGAATAGGTTGGAAGCTAACAGGCTGCAGATTCCTCAAATGCCAGAATGAGGATTGCTTTGTCTGGGGGGCCAACACCTACACCAAAATCTTAGAGCTTCCTGATAAAGTTTTTCTTTTTCCTTCTAGAAAAACCTTGGATCTGTTTGCCTGAGTTATCTGTACTCTGTCTGTACTCTGTGTTCACAGAGTGGAGGAGGCCATTAAGAGAACAAATTTCCCCATTTGCTGCCTCACTTCTCACTTCCGCCTTCTATTTCCCTTGAGACCTCATCCTCCCAACTGCCCCGCCCCCGTCCCCCTGGGGGTTCTGAAGGGCAGGTGAGCTTCAGCCTCCAACGTAGACCCTCATGATATATTGTGGGCTGTGGCTTTCACTGCTCTTTTCCATTCCAGTTTATTTTCTAACTTCCAGATCCATGAAATTCTCTTATCATGTAATAAGCTCACCCCAACCTTTTTCTTGTTATGAATTTATTACTTTCTATACTTTTAACCTTTTAATGTAATTTGAGGAAAGTGCTGTCAGGAACTGGAAACTACACTGTCTCATGTATTTCATGACCCAGTGAAGTGGATATTGTCAGTGTCCTCTTTTCACACCTAAGGTAACTGAGCTGTGGTGGAGCTGATGCTCAAACCCAAGTCTGTCCACCACCAGAGCACGTGCACTTTTTACTGCCTGTTGGGAAGAGGTGCCAAATACGCTAATTCAAGATACTATCTGAAACAACTACTTCATTTTTTTAAAATCCGAAATTTTTAATTACCAGGAAAGCTGTCAGGAATATAAAAGATACTGATCAGCCTCTACCTAGGGTTTTTCTTGCTTACTGGACCATCTTGAGCAATGATTGTCAGTCTTAAAAAAAAAAAAAAACAAAAACCTACAACTAGGCCTTTAAATTAAATCTTATGCACAAACCCATGATGTTTACAAATACAATATATGATGCTGCTCTGGTTGAAGTTAGGTGGGATGCCCAGAGTTCACTCCTCAGTTTTCCCTGGTGGCCGCCAAGACACTTTGCCACTGAGCATAGTTTTGGAAATAATTTGTCCAAGGCTGCAGACCATTTGTCCAAGGGGTAGGGGGTGGGGAATTTTAAGGATTTAAGACTAGTTTGGTAATAAAATAAGATTAAATATTAATTATTTTTTAAATTACTTGGGTAGGTGAAAACATTTTTTTTAGTATTTTATTTTTTGGCAGGGTGGTGGAGGAGGTAATTAGGTCTATTTATTTATGTGTTTATTTATTTTTAGGGGAGGTACTGGGGATTGAACCCAGGACCTTGTGCATGCTAAGCATGCCCTGGGTAGGTGAAATGTTTATTCTTCATTTTGTAGTTGCGTAACGCTATTACCGCAACTGTATAGACGTTCTCGGTCGTGCTGATAAGGAAATAAGCAAAACTCATCATGCTGACTTTTCTTTATTGAATAGGTAATTCATTTTAGTTCAAAAATTAGAAATTATAAAAAGGTATGTAGTGAAAGGTCTCCCTCCCATTCTGCCCCCATCTATCTCCTGTTCCCCTTCTTGGGAATAGAGTGCCCTAGAGATAAGCACTATTATTTCATGAGCAGACATTTGAATATATAATATCCCTTTATCTTTTTACACAATGGGCAGATTGGTCCTATTTAATAGAAATTGAGCACCAGGAATATTTTGAGTTATATGCAGAATCAGTAAAACATTCAGTTTTACACATATGTAATGTTTTGCATTTCTCTTAACAGGAAAAAATTGAAGAGTACTTCCAAATATATTTATCAAACATTATTTTTAAATGGTGAAAACAGTGACATTAAGATTTGTGCTCTAGGGGAAGAGTGGAGTTTACACAAAATATATTTATGCCAAGTAAGTATTTTATTTTTCTATTTGAGTAACCAAGGTAGTCACTTAAAACAACTCAAACTCATACGACTCTTGTTCTTTCTCATAGCATTTCAGAGTAATCTTTTGCCTGAACAGTAGTTGTGTTAAGTCTTATCATCTGATGAAAAGTCTTGTTTTGTAAGAAATATGGTGAACATTGTTAGTGTTTGATCTAGAAAACAGATTTTGAATTTTTATTATCCTTCCAGACTAGAAATACCTTTTTGCCATTAGTACAGTAGGGTAATTATTTTGGTGTCATCTGTGGACAAAAAGGGAAAAAGTTGGGGTAAAACCATTTAACGTTAAAGTTAGGATTGCTGAATTTGTTTGTTTTGCACATGATTATTTCAGTTGGATAAATACAGCTGAAATGTTGCTTTGTAGTTAAGATTGAATGTAAATGGAAATTCTTGACACTTACTCTTCTGTCTCTCCCAGAAAATGCAGTTAAAGACAAAACCAAAAAAGTATATGGACTAAGTCATTTAGCTGATATACCTATTTGATGTTTGTGAAAATACCATTGCCACCCCATTTTAAAAAGATCCAAAGCTTTCAAAATAGAAGAAAATATTGTTCTAATGGCTCAAATATTTTATTCATTTCTTCTTTCCTCAAATCTGTGTATTCTTTTTTCAAGTCATTGTTCTAGGCAGTGGGAATAGAACAGTGAGCAATTCAGTTTTTTCCTATGGATCTTATAGTTTTCCTCTCTTCTTCACAGTATGACAGTAACTACTTGTATGGTATAAGATTTTTCTGTAGAAACACTTGAAAGGAATTTTTTTCTCTTACATTTTAATCATGTTTTTTATTTAATATTTTTTGAACAAATTTACTTTGGCTTGAAATACATAGCCCAGAGACTATTATCAGAATATTGGTCTCAACTTGAAGACATGGTCCGTATCTTTCTTTTTGATCTTCAAAAGCAATTTTGTGAATTTAAGGATGAAAATGCCTCTGTTAAGGCTTTCCCTCCCAAGAGAAGCTGAATTGGTCATAGTGCAAACCTCATGCTAAAATCAAGTCCCCTGAGGACAGAAATAGCATTTGTTTTGTTTTCTGCTATATTCACAGTGCCTTAAATATACTATGTACTCAGTAAATTTTTTAAAATCAATAGTTAGTATTTGATCCATTCCAAAGTAATTCTAATTATGAGAGATGGTATCGAGAAGGTAAGACTTCATCCATTCTGGTATCTTTTCCAACTCATTCTGGAATTTTCTAATTAGATAAAGCTAAACTTTGGATTTTCCCTAATTTCTTGATGATCATCCTATTAGTGTTGAGTTGGGAGCAGTCTGGACCCTTCACAGCCACTGACATAAAGACTCAACAGTTTGAGGGCTTGTAGTTTTCCCTTCTTTTCCTCAATTCATTATTATGCATCCACCTTGTGTATTGTCATATGTTTATGAGAGATTCTTAAATATATGACATAATTTTTAGGCTTGAATTTAGAATGTCATTGAAAAGGAAAACATATACATGTAATATACTCAGAAATTGTTTCAACTGGGTAAAAAGCTAATGAGGTTCAAATAGTAACACAGGAATTCAATTCAGATAGTACAATGAGAATTTGGTTTAATTTTCATTAAATTATTAAATTTCATTAAATTAAACAAAGTATTTTGATAAACTATTAAATGTCCTTATCTTAATTTCTTTTCTCCTGTAGACAGATGTGGCAGTTCTTTTTCTCTTGAAATAATATGGATTAGCTTTGATAGAATAGTTGCTTAGAGTTAGAAATGGGAAAATAATTTGTGTTTGTTTGTTTGTTTTTTTTAAGTCTGGCTACTTTTCTAGTATGTTCAGTGGTTCTTGGAAAGAATCCAGCATGAATATTATTGAATTGGAGATTCCTGACCAGAATATTGACATAGAAGGTAACCACCACCATAATATTTTTATGCAAAAATCATAAAAACATAATCTTTTTATTCTTTTGGTAGAAAATAAATATTTTTTCTTCTAACCTTGTAGACTAGAAAAAAGCTCCATTTAACACCCCAAGGTGACAGCTTTATTTTAATTTACTCCATAGTTTATCAGTTGTGTTCCACCTGTCTATAGTCGTATTTAGTCACGTGGGCCTTATCAGTCTGTTTACATTTATAAATATAGCTGCCTGGCATATGAAGGATGTAGAGTGAAGGAAGAAAAAGAATGATCATTTACTTCAACTATATAGAAAAGGCAGTAAACAGTATTCATTGATTGTTCCCTATATATGAAGACCTTTTCTGGGAACAAGTGTATGAATCATGTAGGCAGCATTGTTTTAGAACTATAAGGGTCCTTAGATGAGGAAGCTGAGGCCCAGGGGATTGAGGTAACTTATTTTAGGTCTCAGAGCAGTTCAGTGAGCCTCGATCAGACTGTAGGTCTCCTACTCCAGTGCTCCTGCTCCTCTTTAATAGCTCAAGTGGGGATACCCAGTACTCACATCTTGGGCAGAGAGAAAAGAGTATTTATAAAGCAAATCCTGCAGGACATGCATGAGAGTGGCAGTAGAGAAAAGGATGGACAGGCTTAACTAGGCGTCTGGGGGAGCGTGAGCAGGGACGGGCTGCTCCGCACTCCCCAGTGGTGGAGCACTGAAAGCACCAGGGTGGAGAGCATCGTTGGGTCTGTGTACTTGTGCTGAGTGACTGGTCTACTCAGGGATGTCTTTATAACACTTTTTCCAAAGGTGTCTTGATTCTGACCACTAACTTTAATCAAGATTAGCTATGGAAGAACCTAGCGCAATTTGGTAGAAAAAAGGAAATGTATAACATTGTTATTAAATAAGCACCATCAGTCCATGACCATTACTAGCAGTTTAGTTAGTGATACTGATTTTATCCCTTTATTACATGCTAGATTTAGACGTATGTCTTAGTGTATGAAGACAGTCATTGTTATTTTTGTAATATTCTTACAATATAATTGTTCTTTTGTTCTACCTGTGTACTTTTGCTTTCAGCACTGCAGGTGGCATTTGGGTCACTGTATCGAGATGATGTCTTAATAAAACCTAGTCGAGTTATTGCCATTTTGGCAGCAGCTTGTATGCTGCAATTGGTAAGTATGCACATTATTCATAAAAAGGATCACAGCTTTGTTTCAAGTTATCTGTTCCAAAAAGAATAAGAAAGCTTAGCTTTTTATAATTTTTAAAATGAAATTTATAAGTATTCCATTTGTGATGAGTCATTTAAAATGCTTAACCAAAAGCAATTTATAACAAGTGAGAGGGGGGTCATGATACTTGTGTAAAATGTACTTGTCTAAGTCCATTTTCAGAATTCTGTTAATTAATGACTTCCCTTGATGTTATTAAACAGATGGCTTATAATTACTAATTTGTTTAGTTCATGGTTTTGGAAAACATTGAGTGCTTAACTGTGTAAATGTTTTCTTAATTTATGAAATAATTGTGTATAAGCCATCTAAATGTATGTAATCTATTGGTAGAGTGACAGAAATTTATTTATTCAATAGAAGTGTATTGAGCAATGTGTCAAGCTAGTCATAGAGATCCAGAAATAAATTATGATATAATCCCCACCTTCAAGAAGCTCGCAATATAATGGGAGTGTAGAGTGGGGAAGGGAGGGTAGATAATACAGACCCAAAGGGAAAGTAAGAGCTGTCTGATGTTATAGGGTTTGATGATGCACTTTCTGTGTGATTCAGTGGCTGCACAAAGTGGTTGGTTTAACCTGGGGGTGTCAAAGAAGGAAGCTGTGTTTGAGGGTGAGTCTTAAGAACTGAAAATGTATTTATCTTGTGAAGTGAGAAGAAGGGGACAGGAGGAACATTGCAGACAGTAAACTTAAGACCTAGAAATATGAAACAATGGAGGGTTGGAGAATCTGAGTGGAACATAGATCTCACATAGAATATAAGAAGGGCTGGGGGGAGGGAGGCAGAGGCCAGTTCAAGAAAGTCCCTCTATTCCTTTTAAGAAGTTGAGGCTTTACATATAAGTACTTTAGGGAATTTTGAACAATGCAAAGGATGAACTGAAGGAAAGATGAGTATAAAAGCTATTGCAGTAATCCAAGGGAGAGTCTAAATGAGGCCAGTAGCAAAAATTGTGGAGAGGAAAAACTGGATACCGGGGTGGTTAAGCGGAGATAATCCACTAGACTTGGTGACCGATGAGATGTTAAAAGGAAAGGGAAGGAGTCTAGAAGGACCAGGTAAGTTTAAAGTCCCAACGGAGTCGACATTTTGTATTGATCATTTAAAAAAGTTAAATTTCTTTTTATGTGACATTTGTATACTGATTTATTTGAAGTATTAGTTAATAGCTTGCTAAATATACTTGGCTGAAGTAATTTGATTTTTAAAATGTTTTGATCCTTTCAGTACTTACTTCCAGTAATTATGCCTTATTTTTTAACTTTTAATCCTTTTTTGGTTTTGTTCTAATTTCACTTTCTGCATTATCTTTGACTTAACTATTTAACAGTAATACACTTGCATGAGGAGTGTATCTCAAAAACTTGAGTAAAAAATGATAATATTCTTACCATATAGTAAATAGTTATTTGAAATCTTCTGTACAAGTATTTTAGATTAAAATTTCAATGTAAGTTTAAAACAATAATATATTTGTTTTAGATGCATTTCTTAGGTATTGATAGGTATTTTAAACTTTAATAAAAACGTCCCAATGATTTTGCATTGTTTACTTGCCTAGCACATCACATGGTCATGTGACTATGTAAAGAGGTCTTAATTTCAAAAGAACAGGCAAAACAAGACAGAATGCTGCTTAAATTTGCAAAGGCCCCAGAGAAAGAAAGAAAATAGTAATATTGATCCCTGTCTTACTGTTTTTGCCCCTCCTTCCACTTTTTCAATTCTAAGTATTTAGTTGAATACTTACTGGATTTTTTTAGGTATTTTTACTGGACTTATAAAAAAAAAATTAGATTTGCTGCACTTAATGAGTTTTCTTTCTTTTCTTTCTTTCTTCCTTTTTTTTTTTTTTACTTTTTAATATGTAAAAGCACATATTCAGAGCTAATTTTTCCCATGTGAAATGGGCATTTCCAGTGCTTATTTATATTTACAGGATGGTTTAATACAGCAGTGTGGGGAGACCATGAAGGAAACAATTAATGTGAAAACTGTATGCGGCTATTACACGTCAGCAGGGACCTATGGATTAGATTCTGTAAAGAAAAAGTGAGTTACCGTTCTTGTTTTTCCTCTCATCCCACTTTTGGGAATGTGGCTGACCTGGTTTCCTAAGAGAATGCGTAGCTATGAAAAAGAAAGAATAGAAAGGAAGAATAGAATTTGTTATAGAAGGTCCCTGTTTACATGTGGACTAATTAGTAAATTCCTCAAAAGTGTAGTCTCTGCAAGTGACAGTGGGTGGGTTATATACATACTTATAAAAACTATGGTCACTCTAAAAAGTACATTTCTATTAAATTTTTTTAAAGTAGTAGGCATAATAGCCATTACAGTCGCCCCTCATTATCCGCAGGGTATTGGTTCCAGGACCCGAGTGGATGCCAAAATCTGCGGATGCTCAAGTCCCTTATATAGAATGATGTGGTGCTTGCAAATAACCATCCTCCTGTGTACTTGAAATCGTCTCTGCATTACTTATAATACCTAATACAATGTGACTGTTACATAAAACGTTGTATATACATTGTAAATGCTATGTAAATAGTTGCTGACTCGCAGCAAATTTAAGTTTTGCTTTATGGAACGTTCTGGGATTTTTTTTTTTCTCCAATATTTTCAATTCTCGATTGGTTGAATCCACAGACCCAGAACCCGCAGATACCGAGGGCTGACTGTATATCAGTGCAACTACTGGTAGTGTTTTTAACTCTTGAGAATTGAAGCCCCCGTTTTCAGATTATAAAGAGGGTAATAGAAGTATGTAAACCCCTTCATAAACCATTTAAAATAAACTTAAAAATTGAGGTTTTCTTAATTAGAAATGCTCTTACTAACATGAAGGGAATCGTTCTTTACTAACTGCTAACAAAAACAATACTAAATTTCCAGTTGTTAGATTTAAAACTTTGAGCATATCCTAGCAAGATTAATATTGTTTTTATTTTAGCTGTAAGTCCTACTTAATAAATCATAAATATACGGTATATAATGTAATAATTCCATGTTTTAATTCCAGATGCCTTGAATGGCTTCTAAACAATTTGATGACTCACCAGAATGTTGAACTTTTTAAAGAACTCAGGTAATTTGAATTTTAAATAACTTTGTAGTTAATCATCTAAAATAATATTTTTCATTTGTTTAAGTATGCAAGACATTTTTGTATAAAACAAAAATATATTACTTATGAAAAAGTGAACAATTTAATGAAAGGTATCTTGACTACATCCATGACCTGAAAAAATGCTACACAAGTTTCTGTATATTATGTCTACTGTTTTAACCAGTTTTAATAGAAAAATTCATTTCTGCTGTAGAAGTGTGGAGTTTCCAGGGTTACCTCACTTTTGCTGGGCTCCTAGAGAATCTTAAAGTTTATTTTAAAAATCATCTTTTACCATTGAGAAATTAAGTTTGAGGAAATTATTTTAAACTTTTTGTTAATAAGCCTAATGAAATTAAATTCACAGTTAAATGGGCCTTTTGAACTAAGTTTGCTTATATTCCTTCCTTCCTTCAACAAATAATTCCTGAATGTTTACTATGTGGAAAGGTACTCTGTTAAGGGCTGTGAAGGAAGCAGAGATGCATATGTCATGGTCTCTGCCCTCAAGGAACTTATTTGTAATAATGGAGCTAACATATTTGAGATGGGTCTGAGAAATTGAGGTGGGCATGAACTTTTAAAGGCCAGTAGGTTATTCAGTCACTTTGAGACTTGCACTTCCTTGACAGTGGGGCTTCTGAGACAAGGGTACAGATGTCCCTGGCGGTGTGTGGTGTTCTGATGGAAATGTACGAAACCAAAGGCTTAACGTTGCATAGTTTACTGGGATGTCAGTTTTACTGATTTTTTTTTTTTCAGAGATGTGGGAAGGGGTAGGAAAGAAGTAAATATTTTTATGTTTAAATATATTGTGAAATAGATGTCAAGTTTCTTTGGACTTAGAAGATGAAATAGAAAATTTAATATAAGTGTTATTTTTATGATTAGCTTGCTCCTAGATTTCTGGGTCCTTTCCTTTCCTTTCCTTGGCCCTTAAGAGGTACTTTTGCAGAAAAGTTTGAGAAGCATTGTGCTACAAAAAAATTACCACGTAATAATTTCTCAAGGCATAAAGCTCTGTAGTATGTTTAGTTTGAAAGTCATTGAAACATTTTTTTCTCTTTTTTAATTTCTTACTGAGCTTTATCAAAAGGAAGATAAATCATAGTGGTCATCTTAAGAACCCAGATGCTCTTCTGCCTCTTCGTGGCTTAAAGGAGGGAAAGAAAAAGGAAAAAAGAAGAGAGAACGGCTAGTGATGTCATTGGCATTCTAAATTTAAACTAACACAAATATTTCTTGATTTTACTCTCCTTAATAGTAATAAAAAGAGGTTTTATGACTAAGCAATCCTCTTAAGCTTAGACGTGAAAGGTTGCTTTGAAGATATGTCTCTTTCTATGAATTTTGACAAGTTTTGGGGTTTTTTTGTCATTTTTGGGGTTTTTTTTGGTTTGGTTTTTTTTTACATTAAATGGGGAGGAAAGGGAAACGAAGAAGGCTTCCACTTTATCAGACCATACTAAAAGTGATCTTATTAGGACCTTGCTTTTAACTTAATTAGTTAGCAGACCATTGCTCTTTGCTTCCCTGTCAGTGCAAGAAAAGACCTTTCACAGCAGACTATCTGAATTAAAAGTATCTTTGTGTTCAGATAGTTTGTTTTGGTCCAAGATTCTTTGTCCTAGGCAAAAAGACTGATGTAATTTTTAATTCCACATTTTCTTTTGATAAAAAGACTTAAAGTTTTCAGTTCCACCAGGATCTTTGAGCTGGTACATGCAGAGAAGCTCACTACTTCTATTTTATCTTTTCTAGTATAAATGTCATGAAACAACTCATTGGTTCATCTAACTTATTTGTGATGCAAGTGGAAATGGATGTATACACAGCCCTTAAAAAGGTATTGGTGTAATGTAGTATGTGTAAGGACATCCCCTCAGCATTGCTTATAATAGTGAAAAACTGGAAACAGCTAGTGTCCAGTGATAAGGGGATGGTTATAGATGTACGAAACGTTAAAGGAAATATGCCAAAATGTTAAAAAGTCGTTATGTTTATGGAGTTGGTATCATGAATGATTTTAATTGTATTCTTTATACTTTTCTTTCCTAGGAATATGTTTCCGTTTTTCCAGAGTTTTTTTCCAACAGTTAACATGTTATTTACATAATTAGAAATGTTAAAAGTTTTATATGGTTTTCAGAATTGAGCTTTAGCTGATTAATAACTTTATGACAAAATTTTCACACATGCTTTTTCTAGAAAGTGTTGAAACTCTTTTAAAGCTCTTTTGTACTTGAGGCATATATTTCACTTCATCCTTTTGAAAGGTTTCAACATTTTTAATTTATTTTCACATCTCTCTGAAGAATTAAATTGGCTATTGCTCTTGTTCTGTAGATGGTCAGACTTAGACTTCTTGCAGTTACTGAGTGGCACACTTGAGGCAGATCCCAGGTCTGTGAGTTCTAGTCCATTGCCTTTCCCGCTGCATCAGTTCACCTTTAACCTTTTGTCTCTGGCACGGAGTCTACATTAATATGGTTGTTAATGTAGGTATGGGTATGAGACACCTTCTAGGTTATGGCACTGGGATGGTTTGGTTTTTTTGCTAGAGATGAGATTCTAATACTGTTTTTCCTCCAGGAAGTTTATAGCTGGGTTAACCAATCATTAAAGGAGGGTAAACAGCCCATTTCCACCTCTGAGCCACTGGTAGCATTCATTCTTCCCTGTTGTAACTGCTTTTATGCCAGTGTTGATGATTGCTTACTAGGTGCCAGGCACTAATCCAAGTATGTTACACGTATTAATTCCTTTAATGTCCTTGAGGTAGACATATTATCATGCTCATTTTACAAATGAAAAATTAAAGCCCAGAGAAATTGGGTAATTTCCCTAGCTATGGAGTGATAAGGCCAAGATTTAAAAATTCATGCTCTTAACTACTCTGCATACTGTCTCAACAGCAATAAAATAGGACAATAAGAAACTCCTTTTTCCCATATTTAATTTCTTTCTTTTATAATCTCACATAATATGTAGTAAAATTGAATTTTTAATTGGTGGGTAGAATAAATGAGTATGTAATTGCTAATATAATATATATACACATACATACATTTACCCTTTTAATATTATAACTACAGTGTATTTAAGACGATAAGTACTTTTCAGGAATTAGCTTATTCCTTATCATACACTCATCTAGTTTTTATCATTGGACCATGACTAATGCCATGTTGAATTTAAAACTTGTAAGCATGTCATGTTACAGTTCTCCTTTCAATTGCTTGGAAAATGGAAATTAAATTTTTTAGATATTATGTTTTAAGGAAGCAGTTTGAAAATGTGAAATCATAAGATAATGGAGTCTTACAATTTTTTTTCTTATTTTTTTAATCCAGTGGATGTTCCTTCAACTTGTGCCTTCTTGGAATGGATCTTTAAAACAGCTTTTGACTGAAACCGATGTCTGGTTTTCTAAGAGGAGAAAAGGTGTGTCTAAAATATTTATTGAGAAGTCTTTTTTCAATTGAAATTTAATTAAAATCAGATCCTGACTTATTTATAAACCTAGAGAATTTTAGAGCTGGAGAAGACATTAGCAGTGATCTGATTCAACCCCTCATTTACACTGAGAAAACTGAGGCTGGATAAAACAGATTTAGAAGAGTTCATAGTGTCCTTTTTTTTTCTTTTTAGATTCCACATATGAGTGATATGGTATTTTTCTTTCTCTTTCTGGCTTACTTCACTTAGAATGACAATCTCTAGGTCCATGCATGTTGCTGCAAATGGCGTTATTTTATTCTTTTTTATGGCATAGTAATATTCTGCTGTATAAATATACCATAGCTTCTTTATCCAGTCATCTGTTGATGGACATTTAGATTGCTTCCATGGCTACTGTACACCAAAAATTGACACATTGTAATTGTACTTCAGTCTGTACTTTAAAAAAAAAAAACAGATTTAGAAAAAAATTTTAATGGCCCACAGGTGCAAAGAAGTGCATAAAAGTCATAATCCTTAATTCATGATTTTCTTAGTTCGCTGTCATTTTTGGTCCATATATGGCCACCATTTTCATTTATTTTTAGTAATTTATTGACCCTCAGTGAACTGATCTTTATTTGACTTCACTTCAAGCACTAGAACATTAATAACTTCAGTCAATTCATGCTTCTTTCCTATTGTGTCCCTTAGACTTTCTCCAAGCACTATCTTGAATTTTGTGTTCATTATTCCCTTGCTTTTAAAAATACTGTTATTGCATTTTGCACATATGTCTTAACATACATTTGTATCATGGTGATATGCTGGTAAGCTGGCTGTCTGAAAAAATAATCATCTACTTGTAGCATTTTAAAATTTTTTTAGATACACATTCTCCCACCATGGCTGATTTCAAGCTACCAACCTGACACCACCGAGTGCAGAGTTGGAAAGAAATGCATACCGTCAGCTCATATGAGCGAGCCAGCACAGCACTGAAAACATACCTTGTTTTTGTTGTTATTGAGCTGTTTTATATTATGGTATTGATTTTCATTTCCTTGAAAATTAAAGAGACTGAACAGCTTTTTCTGTGTTCATTGGCCATATGTTTCCTCTTCATGAAATGTCTGTTCAAGTCTCTTTTCTATTTTAATATTGTATTTGTCTTTTCTTACTAATTTGTGGGCTTTTTTTTTTTTTATTTTAAGACTTTTGTTAGAGCAGTTTCAGATTCCCAACAAAATTAACGGGAAGGTGTTACAGAGATTTCTCATAATCCACTCCCCCCGCTGCTGACTTGTGGCATTCTTTATATATCCTTAATGACCAGTGCTTTGTCATAAGTAAATGTTGCATGTATCTCCCCGTTTGTAAACGTTTTTACTTTCTTAAAGATGTCTTTTTTTAATGTCTTCTTTTGAATTCTTTTTTTTTAATGTTTATTTTTATTTATTTACTTTCTGGGAGGAGGTAATTAAATTTCCTTTTTTTTTTTTTTTTTTTTGATGAAGATACTGGGGATTGAACCCAGGACCTCGTGCATGCTAGACATGCACTCTACCACTGAGCTATACCCTCCCCCAAAAGATATCTTTTGATGAATAGAAGTTCTGAATTTTAAAGTTAAGTGCACTTTTGTCTTGTTAAATAAATTTTGTAGAATTATTTTATGTAGTAGGATTTCCTAGCTAATTTTTTTCCTTCAAGCTCATGAACCAAAAATGTGTAAAATCAGTAAAATCTCAACTTGATTTACTTGAAGAACAAAATGCTAAACTTCTGTCTTAAATTATACTTTAGGGCCACATTATGGCAATTTAATAAGGATTTGAGAAGTAATTAAGGAAAAAAAGTAGATGAGAAAATTTAAGTTAAAAAAACAGATTAAAAACTGAAAAAGACAAGGAAGGTGGAGAAGCTAAAAAGACAAAGGGACTCAATGGAACTAGCAGGTGTTAGGTAAATGTTGACATAAATTTAGGTTCATTTGAACTCCAGCTGGATTAACCACAGCAGTCCATCAGGAGAGAAGTTACTCTGTACCCTGAGTGGCAGAAACTAGAATAGGAAGCTGTGGTCTCCTAATTTTCCCACCACAAGCTCCATCCCAGCCTCAGTGATGTAAAAGTACACAGTTTAAGATAACATTTCAGGGAAACCTTTCTTGCACAAGGCAATATGTCTAATGCCCTTGTTTTTCAGTGAGGACTTTATAAGTTTATTTCAAACAGTTTTTAAATTATAAAAGTAATGAATGCTCAGGAAGTAAGACCAAAAAAATCACTCATGGTCCCCTAATATATTTCTCTTAGGTCTCCTCAATTATTTGACTGTTCAGATATATATGGGTTAGGACTACGAGAACAATAGAAATTTAGAAATTTTTCTGCACAGTTGTATGTATGGACTGCTACTGAATTTGGCTGGTACCATTAGTGTGGCCACATTTGGTCAGCTAGAATCCTTGAAACATATTTTTTTAGTTCTATAAATTCTTACAAAAGTAAATGAGGCAATATCTTGTATGCCCTTAAAGAAGAGGCTTCATGGGATAATTTCCAGATTTCTGTGAGACAGTCTAGGTTTCTATGTGTTGGGGTGGGGGGAAGGTAATTAGTTTGGTTTGTTTATTTATTTTTAATGGAGGTAATGGGGATTGAGCCCAGGACCTCATGCATGCTAAGCACACATTCTTAGCCAGTGAGCTCTACCCTCCCCTCTCTATGAGACAATCTAGAATTAGATTTTTATAACTTGCTTATGTGATTGAATCAGTACGTGTAAGTGCATTGTGGTATTCTCAATACAACCCATGATACTTACACATTTAATTCCACATATGAACTAGAGCTAATGTTATTTTTTTTTTAAAAAGATGACATAAAATCCACAGTTACATGGCTATTATGTAGATAAGCAAAGTTAACTATTAATCTTTTTAATGAGCTCACTGCTTTCGTTTGCTTTGACTCTAGGCAGGTGTCACAGGAATAGAAAAAATACATGGGATAAAAACTTGAAAAGTGTGAAAATTCTTCAGATTAACTTGTCTTTTTGCAATTTTGAGCAAAAATTACTTTAGTGGGCAACACCTTTCTGGTTTACAGCAAACCTGTATTCCATATGGAACGTAGTTTGAGACAGTCTGCAGTCTTAACTCTCAACTTTTATTTGCTATCTGTAACAGCAACAGGGCTGAGTCCACTCCCATGGGTATACTTTGTATCAGAAAGCAGGCTAGGGCTTATGTACAGGTCCCTGCGTGATAGCAGAAACTCCAGACCTTTCCTTCCCGCTCGTGAAAGCACCTTGGAGTGCAACTGAGAGTAACTGTTTTTTAGAAATAGCCTTGAATTCTCTATAAAAGAAAAAATATTCATATTCTTCATAAACAGATTATTTTAACAATAAATACTACCCATGTGTTACAAATCCATAGCTACACTGTCTTTGTATCTTATTTTGTATTTTAATAGAGAATGAATGTATTGAGTAGTGTTCATCCCATGTAACTAAAGCATAAATTAGAAGAATCCCAAGAGATGGTCCATGTCCTGTGATTCTTATGAAGACCCTTGAGTGAGGCATTTGGACTCAAGAGTTCCACTGGACTGTTCAGTCCTGGGGAAAAGGGATTCTGGAGAGATACCCTAACCACCATTCTCAGGCCTTCCTTTCTCACCTTGTGTTCTGTCAGCTCCAAACCCCAGAAAGGTTTCAGTTGAATTCCCAGCCTAAGGGTCTAATTAGGACCAAAGTTAATATCCTGGGGCTTTATCGCTAAGCCCCCCAAGTTTTTTATCTACATACATGAAGGTTATAAAATCCTTGAAAATTTTGAAATTAGCTTATTTGTATTCTAATAGACGTGCGTGTGTGTGTGTGTCCCTGCCCATTAAAAACATTTAGGAATAAATAAATTAATTGATTTGAAAAGAACGGCTATTCAATTTAAGCTGGTTTTTTGGGGGTGGGGTTTTGACTTTTTTTTTTTTTAACAGATTGTGAAGGTATGGCCTTCCTTGAAACTGAGCAAGGAAAACCATTTATGTCAGTATTCAGACATTTACGGTTACAGTATATTATCAGTGATTTGGCCTCCGCAAGAATTATTGAACAAGATTCTCTAGTACCTTCAGGTAAGAATATGATGAAATTATGATTTTAAGCATTATCTTTCCAATTATAATAGTAATATATATCATAGAAAAGAATAATGAAGAAAATAGAAATTGTCCTTAATTCCAATAAGGTATACATTTTTATACCAAAGCAGAATCATACCATATAGATAATTTTCTGTGTTCACATTATATATTGTGAGTATTTTCCCATATCATTAAATACTTTTCAGAACATTTAAATGTATAGTATTCTACAATGTGATTGTTCTTTAATTTGATTAACTAGTACATTATTTTGGACCAGACTTTTTAAAAAGACTTTGGAAGTATTATTTAAAGGTCATAACTGCTTTTTCTGTTAACACTCCTTAAATTTGCTATTTTCTGGGATTTTTTTTCTTATTCTAGTTTTTTTTAAATTTCTTTTTTATTGAAGTATAGTCAATGTACAATGCTGTGTCAGTTTCTGGTATACAGCATAATGTTTCATTCATACATATACGTACATATATTTATTTTCATATTCTTTCTGTCTCTTAAGACACCTTGCTGACAGAGGGTTGGCAGGCCAAGTAGTCATGGTTCCAACCCCTCAATGCCCTTTCCAAATCATTATTGCATATGATCCACCTCACCCTCTAGTCTTTCTCTTCTAACCCCTAGTCATTCTTCTACATTTATTTAAGACTTGGACACTTGATTCCTGTCTGCATCTCCACCCCCGTTCAGTAACATAATGTGTCCATGTTATCATTCCATTTAATACCCTAGCCCCCTAGTAATTTGACCTCAACTCCTATAACACATTTGTTTGCTGATCATTAACCACTTGCCACCTATGAATCTTATTGTAACCCAGAATTTTTCAGCATCAGAATTCCAGTAGTTTTCAGGCTCTGTGAACTTCTAACATGTTCATAGGCTCATTCCTTTTACACTGTTGTTTGATGTCCAGTCCATTTTAAGCCCTCCAGTTTCTGCCAGTCTTTCAGACCTCCCTGCCTTTTCTTCCTTTCCAGCCCGGATTTCACGGTAGATCATCTGAACCACTCTCTCTCACGATTGCCTTTGTCTTCCTACTTGACAAAATTCTAAAACTTAAGTAAACCTTCTTTGTTCCTATAGCTTCCGCTCTGTACTGAGCACTGCTCCAGAGCATCCTGTAACTTTTGTAATGATGCCTCTACAAGCATATTTCAGTGCTAAGCTTGGACCTTGGGACTCTTTATGCTCCTTCACTTGGTCACTCCTCTTTCATCTGCTTTAGCAATTACGTATCAGACCTCTGCCACCCTGTTCAAGCTTCCTCTCCAATCACTCCACTGTCAGTATGGGAACTCTCCTTTTTTTATATAAATTTTAGGTAATCAGGCAAAAATTTGTTCAGATTCCTAGTCTTCTTCCGCTGTCCTTCCTGACCCATCCCCAGAAGCTGGGGTGCTCCCTTCCTATTCAAGCCAACCTTCTGCTGTGTTCATAATCCTATCACTTCCTGTTCTGGAATTTTAAGCTGTCATTTAATAATCTGGACCTTCAACCTTTCCCCACCTGGTCTCCCTCAGCTTGTAAATACAGTCAAATCTCTTATTAAAAAACAAAACAAACCTCCCCCTGCCTTGACCCTGAGTCCCCTTCGTAGTAACCGCTCCTCTCCCTCACAGTCACCTTCTTCAGAGCAGTCTGCAGTTGCTGTCTCCACCGCCTCACCTTTCAGGCATTTCTCAACCCACCGCAGTCTATCTTTTGTCCCCACTGTTCCACTGAAACTTTCTAGCAGAAGATAGGATTGTCCTGTTTGTAAAATTTAGTGACCTCTTGTTAGTCTTATTTTAACTTCTCTAGCATTTTATGTCATGTTAGTTTTTTCTTGAAATTCTCCACAGTACTGCTTTAGTTTACAACTACTATACTCTCCTGCTTCTTTTCCTCTCTCTCTGACCATTCCTCCTCTTTTGCTTTTGTAAGCTTCTCTTACTCTGCCCACGTTTTAACTTCCTAAGGGTGCCCTTGGCCAACTGATCTTTTCATTCTGTATAGTGTCCCAGAGTGACTTCCTTCATTCATATGACTTACTGAAAGATTCCAATTCTGCCCTGTCCCCTGAGTTTCATACTTGGATGTCCAACTGCTGTCTAGCCACCTATAACTTGCTTTAGTTCATCTATTCAAAACAGTACTTATAACTTTGCCCTCCAGCCCCAGTCCCTACATTTTTTCTTCCCCTGTTCCCTGTGTCAACATCACTAGTAACCCACCCAGCCTCACAAAAATAGCAAAATCCTGGAGGTCATCCTGTCCTCCTCAGACTCTTCCTCCACATCCATTCACCATGTCCTGTAGATTTTTTTCATAGATAATTCTCAGACTTACCTTTTTTTTGCCTACTAGCACTCCCTTGTTTAAGATGTCATCATCATCTCTTGCTAGATTACTGTAGTACAAAATATATCTGTGTCCTGGCTGGACTGTGAGGGCCATACGTTGTTCATCTTTTTCTCTCTGGGACATAGTACAGTGATTGACAGATAGGCACTCAGTTGGTGTGAACTAAACTTGTTTTCTAAAACATACTCACTTACTTATGGCCTAATACTGTGTTTACTCCATCAGGTAAGTTTAGATTCTAGCACCTATCCTAAGAACTTTAAAGGAGAGGAGGAAAAGTAAACAAATGTGTGTAGAGTCTTCACAGTGTCGCAGGTAATACACCAGATTATGCACTTAACACCTATTAAGTAAGATAATCTTTGAAATTTATCAAGGCAGTTGTCCCCATTTTATAGATGAAGTGAAGTATAACTATCCTGTCATGCAGCTAGTGAGAAGCAGAGCTCAAATGTAATCTCAAGTCTTTCTTATTCTAGAGCCCTTATTTTTTTTTCACCACATCTTACTGGTTACTGAAAAAAATTCTACTGTGTCTAATCTCTTTAAGTTTATATGTCCAGTTGTAGAAACTTAAGCAGTAACCGAATCACCATTCTTTTGAGTATGCTAAATTTTTTAGCTCTTGATAACAAAGTAATGAAGTAGATTTTTTTTTCCCTCTTATTTTGCATTATGGGCAAGAAAATGGCTATTCGTGTAACTTTTTGTATAAGGAATTACTGTTGTGGGAATAATGGGAAAACTTAATGCTTGATATTTTTGTAAGGTAAATAGAGATGATAACTGTTAAAACAGTATGAGTTTTATGAAAAAAAGTTACTTAAAATGAAAAAGTGTTTAAATCTATGTAATTAGTTTTATTCAGAAAATAGCTTTGGATTACTCAGTACAGTAAATTTTTCATCTTTTGGAACTAGATTTATGTTACTATACATGAGTCTCTTTTAGCCAAACTTCCACGATTTTCTATTAATATTTTATACCTAGATGCTCTGTGCAAAATATTTTATTTATCCATCTAGGAATTTTTTTATTATGTAGACTCTTTGTCCTTCACCTTCAGTATCTACATCTGACTTACATGTTTCATGTAGCAGTTAACCGGTAGGCTCTTTTTTACTATAAGCTTTACCAGTTGTGAGTAGATTTTTGTATGTGTATATATCTGCATATACACTTTTTCTTTCGTTTAAACAGTAAAATACTGAGCAAGTTATCTTTCTGTTTGTTTTTTAAAGTTTTGTGAATCTCAGACATTTTTCAAATAGCATGCTTTTGGAGGTGCCCTTCCCCATGTTCTTTGTGTAAGACAAGAGAATAATCTAAGTAAATTCATTCTGACTTACCTCATTTATTCTACTGGAAAAATACCGCATTCACATTCAAAACTGCTGAGATTAGATCTGCAGCTGCTGATACATGGCACTGTCAAATGCCACCTTTATGTGCCCCTTTGACTTTTTATTTTGGACTTTGGTCTGATAAAATTTAAAATAAGTATTTAAACTTGTTTTCACTGAGGGGAAGTTTCTTGAAGGCACTTTTCCAGAATCTTTCCACTGAACACTCACTTTACCAAAAACGATCCTGGCAGACTCTGCCTAGTGCATCTGCCTTTTGGAGATATGTCTGCATATAGTCATGTTAAAACTCTGTATAGAAGGACTTGTTTCACTTATATTTTATCAAGGATTTCCCTCTGTGTATCAACTGTCAACACTGAATTTGAACTAGTGTTCAATTGACTTATTTTTGTGCTGCTGCTGCTGGGTGAACTACCAGTGATGAGAAAGGTTTCTAGTTTGGCTTTTTACTCTTTTGATTAAGGCAAGAAAGGATGAACAAAATTGTATACCCATGTTTTTAACTTGTTAAAAATGCTTTTGGCTTTAAAGGAGATTATTCAAAACTGTTGAAACCAAATTTTTAAAACATTTTCATTGGATACAGCTTACGTAATACTTAAGAATATGAATGTGTAACACTTTCATTCCGTTTTTATAAATGAATCATTTAAAAGCCATATTGTGTGTCAAGATCAGCAAATTTCAAACTGCAGGCAGTAGCGGATTGAGAAATCATTTTAATGGGAAGTCATTAGCTTTTTTTTTAATAAAATATGATAAAACAATTTAAAAATCCAAACACATTGCAAGTAAAATAACACAATATGTGTGTAGGTATACTGAGTCACACTAGCTACTAGTCTTTACCAACTGAAGATGACTTGTCTATGGCCTATATATTTAGCAGTTATTCCTTATAATAGCAACAATATTATTTGGGGAAAAAGAAACATTCAAAAGTGTATTTATAGAGAATTTTAAGGAATGACACCAAGAAATCAGTGCAAGTCATCTGGATACTTCTAATCAGGCAAAGACTTGAAAAGTGAAAAATCCAGATTCTAATTGCACTAAGGTTTTTGAAACCCTTCCTTTCAGTAGAGAGAGAGAAATCATTTAACTTAAAAGTTTAAAAAACTAAATAAGAGCAGAAAAATAAATATGATGCTAAGCCAAATCTACTTATGTTTTTAATAAATATATTTTTGTATAAAATAATTAAAATTTCAGCTTACACAATATCATTTTGTACAAAAAAATTGTTTATTATTGGGGGAAGATATCTATATTATTATATTCCATTTAGAATAATTTAAATTAAAATGGCTATCTAAATCTAATATGTCAGAATTATTTTTTGGGTGTGCATGATTCATCTAATAATTTAGAGATGGTTCATTTCTCATTAATTAGTTGTTTATAGATAATTTAATAAAGGAACAATTCATTCTTTAGTTTTCTATTAAAACTTGTAAAAACAAAAATATTGCTTTAGATATGTTTCTCCCAAATGAAAATTAGCTATGAAAAGGAAACTATTAAATACAAGAATATACTTTTAACTAGAGATTTAAATGTATGTAATCTAAGTAGAGTCTGTCTTAAGGCAAAGCAAAATAACATTTACCACTTTAAAAATCATTCAGCCACGTTGGTATAACATATTGCAAAACATAAATTACCAGTTCAGTTATTGCTGTTTTAAACTTGAGTTTTAAAATGGTAACAATTTTACCAACTACTTAAAATTTTTAAATCCTTTTTATTTTTTCGTGTTTATTATTATTCTTATTATTGTATTTATGTTTACATTTTAGAATGGCTGTCTTCTGTGTATAAACAGCAGTGGCTTGCTATGCTCCGGGCAGAACAGGACAGTGAGGTGGGGTAAGTATGTTACATCATACCATTGTTCATTTAAAAAAAAAAGTTTAAAAAAGTTTTATTGAAATACAGTTGACTTATAATATTGTGTTAGTTTCAGGTATACAGCAAAGTGGTTCAGTTATAGATATATTTTTTTCAGATCGGTTTCCATTATAGGTTATTACAAGATACTGAATATAGTTCCCTGTGTTATACAGTAGATCCTTGTTGCTTTATTATTTTATGTACAGTAGTTTGTATCTGTTAATCCCATACTCTTAATCTGTTCCTCCCTTTCTTCCCTTTTGGTAGCCATAAGTTTGTTTTCTCATCTTTGATTGTTTCTGTTCTGTATGTAGATTCATTTGTGTTATTTTTTAGATTTCACATACAAGTGACATCTTATTTCTTTGTCTGACTTACTTCACTTCCTATGATAATCTCTAGGTCCATCCATGGTGCTGCAAATGGCATTGTTTCATACTTTTGATGGCTGAGAAATAGTCCATTGTGTGTGTGTATGTGTGTATGTATGTATATATAATCATACATACATATATACACAGAAGTACTTCCACACTTATTATTTGGTGTTTATACTGGCTCCTTGGTATAGGCAGTGTGAAGGCAGTGTGAATCCACCTGTGAGTATATAGAAAGGCTTTACGTTTGATTTTTTTCTGCCCCTGACCCCTTTTAATTTATTTTTATACACCAGAGAACTTTCTGAAATAATAGTCTAGTTGTGTTTATGTTTAAACAGTAAGTGTATGAAAGGGTTCTATAAACTCATGATAATGATCACAAGATTATTATCAAGCGTTCTTAGCTTCTACTTTATTTGTAATTTATATCCCACCTTTTCCCAGATGTATTCACAGCATACTTACCTTGCACAAAAACAGTAAGGTTGTTGAAATAAAAATAATAACCTCTCCCCCCAAAATAAGAGTTATTTAATGGAATTCAGATTTGAAGCATTTTGTGATTGATGTATAACATATTTTATAAATCATCCTACTTCCTTTGTATATATTCAGTTTTTAAATGTTGAATGTGATTTATTTTTCAAGATTTTTTTCATCTGTATCCTTTTTGAGTTTAATGTCGGGCCTCACCTAAGAGACTGAGCTAGAATTGGTAGTTTTCTTTCCCTCAGAAGTATATGAGTGTCTGGCTCCTAATGACACACTCTAGTCCACAGATGCTACGCATCCACTCACTCCTGCAAGGCACTCCCTGGATTCTAGGTAATAATCTAGTAAAGTCTCCCTCCAGGGCTTCCCTCTTCTAAACTCTTCCACGTTGCCAACAGGATTGTCTTCCTAGCTAGAACTGTGCGTTCACTTCCCTGCCTAAATATGTCCAGGGACATTTGGTAGATAGTTAGGGATTATTGCTTTTTGTGTGACGTAGATTGTGTTAATGTTTTTTAAGTCCTTATCTTTAAGAAATACGTGCTGAAGTATTTATAGATTAAAGGGTGTGATGTCTGGAGGGTCAACCTCAAAATAATCAGTTGGGAGGAATATGGGGCAATGTGGGGTGGGAGTAAAACTAAACCAAGATTATTGAATCTGGACGGTGAGAAAATTTGGCTCATTATAGTATTTTCTTTACTTTTACATGGTTGAAATGTTTCCTAAGAAAAAATGTTAAAGTAACAGAACAAACACCTGGAAATTCTCTGTCGTCTATAGGACGAGTTGAAGCTCCTACTAATGTGGCCTGTGGGGCCTTCAACAGTCTCTCCCAAATGCTTCTCTTCATCTCCTCTCAGGCTCATTTTAGGCTCTAGCTGCACCGGATTCTTCATACATTTGCTTTCCCTTCATGCTCCAGGCCCTTTTTACCTGCTGTTCCTTCTACCTGGAATGTCCTTCCTCTGCACAGAGTTCACCCTGAGCTCTAACCCCAACAAACTCCCTCTCAGGCACAGATAATACTTCCTCTGTGATGATCCCCACTCAAACCCCAGGCAGTGAATCTGTGCCTTCTTCGTGCTCTTAACGTCAATTCTCTCCGTATTATTATATCATTACTTATGTCTGTTTCCCTAGTAGATTGAGCTCTTGGATGTCAAAGACACGTCTTAGTAGTTTTATTTCAATTTAATATATTTATTTGATGATGATGATGATGGCCCCAGAATCTAGGTACTTAAAAAATGCTTTATATGAATGAATATATTATATTGCTTTTACCATTTGGAATTCTAAGCTAATAATAATGTCATTATATTATTACATCTTGAAATAACAAAGTTTCTTTTAATTGATTAAGGTTTTTAAAGTAAGGGGCCAAGTAAAGATTAATTGATAAAATTCTACAGCTGTTTTCTATTAAATACTCAGTTTGGTTGTACTACCTAAAAAAATGGCTCATTATGTGAAACAGTAATATCAAATGGTAGCTGATCTTAAATAATAGATTTTAATTTATTTTACTTAGTTGTTAGACTTTAAGTGTTTTATTTTCTTAGTAAGCAGAATTTCTTACAGATTTTTTTTCTCTTCTCTGGTGTTACTGAGCCCTAATGAAAGTATTCTGGAAGTCAGGGCAATAAGTGAAGCATTAAAGATTTACATTTTTTTATTTAGCAAAGGTAATGGGTGAGATTTAATCACTGAATTTGATTTTCATCTGTACCACAAAATTTTATTTTTAAATCTAGTAGCAAGTTTTTCCTTTTAAATGACAATTATTTTTCAATTTTCAGTTGTCTGTTTTCTATGAGATTTCATGTCTTAACGTGTATTTCTAGGCCTCAAGAAATCAATAAAGAAGAACTGGAGGGAAATAGCATGAGGTGTGGTAGAAAGCTTGCCAAAGATGGTGAAGTAAGTATGCGCTGTGACTCTTCATATTCTTACACTAATTGTTACACTATTCATGCAAAATACACAGTAATAACCACGATACATGTCATACCTCAGAAGAGCTTTTTGGGTGTAGTTTCTGTAACATGATCTCCTGGGCAAGGAGCTGCGTGCTCAGTGGTGATTCAGTCTTGCCTGAGACTGTTGAAGATTTTGGGTGTAGATAAGGGATATGAGAAGCGGATCCCTCAGCAATCCAGCAATTAAGATAAAGAAGTCAAATGGGAGCTGTTCCATAGTCTTTGGAGTGAGTTTTTCTGTTTTACAGTTACCCTAGGTCAGAGGCATCAAACCCTTTGACTGCTACCCACATGAAGAATTAGGTTTTTCATGACCACCCAGTATAAACGCATAGAAATGAAACAAAAGTGTCATAGAACAATGCTCACAGCTGCTGTGTCCTAAGATTTATTTCTACTTAATTTTTCAAAACAGCTGATTCTAACTCATTGATTTTACTAAAGAGACATGAACTACATTTTTTTTAAAACTCCACCCTAACTTAATTATAATTTTCATCTTAAAAAAGGAATTGAGCCTCATTTAGATAACCGTTTTGGTTATTTTTCTTCCATTTTTCCTTATTTTACTGTAATTTTAAAAAGATTATTTTGTTTGCGTTAAGAGTTGTGATAACTGTTCAGAGTGTGGAAAGGGGATCGTATCTCCTTTATTCCTCAGTCCTCGGTGCTGCTTCCAGACCCCGTTCCACCCTCACCCCTGGCTGAGTCACAGCGCCTTTGAAGCACGTGCTTCTGCAGCACCACTCGCCGCTCCTACTGCGGCCACCATGCACGGGGCTCGCTGGCTTGCCTCGTCGGTTCTTGCCTCATCGCTCTTGGTGATTTTTAGTACCTGTTCCCTGACCTACCTTCCCTCAGTGGTCTTGTGCTCCACCCCGCCTCAGGTCCCCATTTCCTGTGATTGTAGCCTCAGTTTTTGTATTACTGATTAAGATACCCCTTCAAAATCTCCATTTCAAGCAGCCATTTGCAGACTCTACCTCCTGTTATCTTTCCAGCGCTCTCCCTCTGGTGCCTGGACCCCCCCACACACAACTTTTAACCCCCACTGGAACGTACAGTACATTGTTCTTACTGTCTTGTCCCCATCACCCTCTCGCCACATCCCTGCTTCTTTCTTTACTTAACTGATGCTTTATGTTCCATCTTAAGATTGGTCCCTGGCTCATACTTTAAACTTCTCTTTTTCACTCTGTCACATCCACCTGGCTGAACCCCAGTTCTTATTAGATTCCACCTTTCTGTGTGCTCCCTGCCTGCTTCTGTACAAATGAATGTGACTAAGGAACACCTTACATCCTCCCGAAGGTTTCACTTGAGTGTCTGTAACTGTAAACCTCAGGCAGCTCTTGGCTGCTGCGTGGTGGTCCTCCTACCTTTCTCCTGTGAGTTTATCCTCCCACTCTCGGAGTAACTCTCATGCCGTCTCAGAGGGGCAGTGCTACCACCCTTATTCTTGTCCAGTGGCCTTGCTTCTTTCACAAAATAAAAGCAAAAGGAAGGGACTCTGTACATCTTGCTACCAGTGCTGCTCCCCGTCCGCCTGTATCTCCAGCTGTGCGCTGTGCGCCGTGCTTTCCCTCTCCTTAGGCTGGGGGAGCTGTCTGCGGCTTTCCTCGTCCGTCCCCTCCTCTGGTGGTGGACTCCCTCCCTTCTCACTGTTCAGAGGTTTGCTCCTACAGTCATCACCTCCCTCTCCTGCACTGTCAGTTTCTCTTTTCTGTACCATTCTCATTTAGCATATAAATGCCAGAGCATCACCCATCTTAAACCGTACCCTGACCCCACGGTCCCCTGTAGCTTCCACTCCATTTCTCTGCACCTGTTTTAAGCAAAACTCATTGAAAAAAGTTTCTTGTATCCACTTCAATTCATTTACAACCAGTGAACTCAAGTGACAGTGCCATGCCGTCCCCAGTGATTCCTACATTACCAAATCAAGTAGCTTTTAGTCTTCTGAAAGCTCTTGGCAGCATGACCCACCTGTTCACTTACTCCTCCTAGGAGATTTTCTCCATTTGGCTTCCAGGAGAGCATACTGTGCTGGTTTTTTCCTCCTCCACTGGCTGCTCCTTCTAAGTGTTGGCTGGATCCTTCTCCTCTCTTCTCAACACATGTTGTTGTGACTGGAGGTTCAGTACTGGGCCCTCTTCCCTGTCTGTGCTGTCTGTGCTCACACCTCAGTGCTCTCAGCCTGTCCTGTGACTACACACTGAGCCCTGATGCCTGTCTCTGGCTGCTCACTTGACGTCTTTATTAGAACCCTAATAGCATTTCGTATCTGAAGGTCCTAGCTGAACTCTTTCGATTTTCGTTCCCAAACTCTTCCTTTCCAAGTATTCTCCAGCCCGTAAATAGCCCTTGTGTTCATCACTTGCATAAGCTCCAAACTTAGAATTCTTCTTCCTTTCATTCCACATCTGGTGTCCGTAAGAAATTCCTTGTAATACGTATCTTTCAGAGATATTCTTAGCATATCTACCTGTACAACCCAAGTCCCAGCCACCCTTCTCTCCGGCCTGGACTTTTGTAGCTTCATAATTGTGCTATTTTCCCTCTTGTTCTTACACATTCTGTTTTCCATACAACAGCCAAAGTCATCTTTTAAAAATACGAATTAAACCATGTTACCTCCTTGCCTGAAATTTTCCATTAGCCTCTTACCACACTTAGAAGAAGGCCAAACTCTTCCTTACCATGGACTCCTAGGCCCTACATCTTCTGGCCCCGGACTGACTCTCTGAACTCATCTCCAGCTTCTTTGACCCCCTCAGTTACTGCCCTAGCCACACAGCCCATTCTGCTGTTCCTCAGACAGACCACGCACGTTTTTACCTTCAGAGCTTTGTACTCGCTGTTCTCTTTGTCAGTCACTCTTACCCTGCTAGCTACCTGGTCCATGCCTTAGCTGTCTCAGGACCCTGCTCACCTAGCATCTCTTCAGAGAGATGTTCACTGACCAGCAGTCTCCCCAGCTG